ACTCGATCAAAGGCCTTAGAGGCATTAATAAACCCAATTAATTATTATTATTGTTGTTATTATTATTATTATTGTTCTTGTTGTTGTAATTATTCAAGTTTTTTCTTTGATTGATTGATTGATGATGCCTTTATTGTCATTGTATGAAGCACAATGAAATTACATTTAAGAACACCCATTCAAGAAGACACACATGACAAAAACATGGGGGTACAGGTGATCAGCTCATGTGGCAACCAGCAGGGGTCGCACTACCTTTAAAAAGAAAAATGAAATACAACAGGAAGGTTAGATGAGGAAAAAAGCAAAACATCATCAACGAAATATGATACACTATGGAGTTTATGAAAAAAACCTCTACAAGCAAGAGCACGTTTATTAGCCAGAGCAGTAAGTGAGTTTAGAGGGAATGAGTCCGAAGTACCCAGCCTCCCAAAGAAAAACCCATAGTTCAGCCATTAGTTCAGAATATTGGTGTTGAATTAATCATTCTGTGCAGCTCCAGCTTCACCTTCAGGAGATCAGATTAGATGGGGAGAGGTGGGGGAGGAGCCTCAAGTCGACGTAAACATCCCGGAGAAATTAGATCCACAGCCTTCAAGGTCAGGGAGGGGGGTAATCTGTAATCAGTTGTTTGGGAACAGAGAAAATGTATTTGACAATAATAATTTTCATCTGCCTTAATGTCCGCTGGTACATCCAAGGTGGCGAATGCAAACAGACAAATAGTGTGGACAATCCTGCAGAGCCGATTTATCACCTTCTTTCTCCAAGATCAATTCCATCTGGCCAGCAAAGTCCAGGAACAACAGCCGGCCTGCGACCCTCGGCAGAACCGCTTGTAGACCGAGTCCAGCTCRCACAAGGCAAAACTCTGAGTGCTGMTAGAACGGCAATCCTTCATATAGCCAGGAAATGAAAAGCCACTGATACTGTTTGTAGAAACACCAGGAGACCACCAAGCCAATCTGTAGAATCCAGTGATCAGAATTCAAATTTATATCCAGAACAGAGAAGAACAGAGGCCCCACCTTTGACATGTCCTCCCATGGAAGAAGAAACCTTTCTTCAAAAAAAATTTTATTAAGAGACCAGCTAACCAAATCCATAAAATTAAAAATATCCATAATTTCTGGTTTTGGATTAAAACATAGAGAAGGCTCCAGCAGCAAAGTAGGGAAGATAATGAAGGGCAGGAGAGAAGGGAAAAGTGTCTTACTCCTCCAAGAACGGGAAAAAAAATTCTTTACAACAACCAGTGTGTGTGTGTGAAGAAGTTTGTATAGATGTTATCTATCACACCAAACTGAGAATTAAATCACATTTGGTCAAAATAACGTAAACATATTTTTTGATTCCTGCTTCTTTAAGCTACATTTTGATCCCTCCATCATCCTGATATCACGAGTGGTTCCAGAAATATGGTTTGTCTTAACAATTTCACAAACTTGATGATATTTTGTCTGAATCCTTTTTTTTTAGGTTATTCTAATAAGGAGATTTTATGTCATTATAAAAAAGAAATCTAAAAACAATATTTGACATAAGGATTTACCAGCTGGAAAGAAATTTTTTTTGCTGTCTCGCAGGRGAAATGACAAAAATTTAAGGCTTTTTTGCTCAAAATCATATTTTTGTAGCTACCGCTCAAAAAGGGGCATCAGAAAATAAATGATTATGTTATGTAAACAGCCCGTAGATAAGATATTTATATTCTGATAAAATGTAATTGTTACCAGAGTTTTCAGTGCATTATAGCTGCYTATTTATTCACAACTTGCTCTGTGTCCTATTCCTCTGTTCCATGTGATGGGTCACASATACGAAGACTTTATTTCCTTATTTTGTTTTCTAAAACACAAACTCTGGCTGCGTACAGACACCAAGACAAACTAAGAGATTTATAAGAAACAGTTTGTTTAACAGCTGGGTTTAAATGTGTGTACAGATGTTAACATTGCCTCAGGAATTAGAAGAAATTTGTAATCTGGAAAAGAAAATCTGCAAGAACCCAGACTTGAATTTATTAGAATTCATGTAAAACTTATATTTTCTATCCTTTTTTTCTCCAGATCTCTTCATTAAAGGAGCTGCAGACTCTAAAGAGARAGAACACAAAGGTAAAGATAGTTACGACTCAACTCCTGACTAAAACATCTGATTTTAGTGTGAACCTGTCTGTAGACTCACAGCAGGTTACAGAAGAGATGTAAGACTTTTGGGGATCCGTTTGTTTAATTTTAAACAGTTTGTGGGCACATCTCTGCTAAGCTGCTAAAAACACAACTAACTTTTTGTTGAGCAGTTTAGAACTTGCATTGACTTTATAAATAGATAACCGACTCCACTCCCAGTTATAAAACACTGCTGTTTTCTTACTGTGAATTAGTATGTTGGGCTGAACGACCAAGATCTGAAGTCGTGGATGTTTTTTTTCTCATCACATTTCATCTGATGTTAAAACATAAAACCACTGCTTATAACAAACTGCAATAAGCTGAATTTACTTTTTCTTGACTGTTTTCTTTTCCTGTCCCTCTGTTTGTGTTGTGTTTTCCCTCCTGTCTTTTCTTCCTTCCCTGCTTGGAGACATCAGTCTCACATTCTGGCAGTGGTGGGCAGCGCTAATCCAAAAATTAGCTCCGCAATTTCTAAAGAGCTTATGAAAATACTTAGGTCCACAGCTTCAAAAACGCTTATGCCATAGAAAAACTAGTGGAAGTTAATTTTAAAGCGCAAGTTCAATTTGACATTTATTAGCTGGCAACAATTCATGTACAATATATGCACAACACTGCCAACTAATGGTATATGAACCCTTTTACAACTTAATACGATAAGCGCTGATTGCTGGGGATGGGATTTCATGAAACAGACCTTTAGCTCCTGGTGTAAAAATTAAAAAGTTGTTGAGGATTGCTAGTTCGACTGCTTCTTTGTCTTTTGTTTGTTGTAGAT